ATGAGCAACCAAAAGACCGCCGCCAAAACCGGTGCACAAAAGTGAATGGTTAATGGTTGTAAGAACCGAACCGAACCGAGCCGAACGTAGGTAATAGTGAATCCATGGGTTCGAGGAATCCAAGTACACGAAATTCGTCGATCAGCTTCCCTCGGAGGTCTGTAAGTTAGACAAAGTTAGAAGTAGTGGTCTTTATTGTAGCCCTAAGAATCACAAAGGAATACCACTAGATCAAGTCAGTAAAGAAAAGAAATGAAAATTCAGTAGGAAGAACAGGTAAAGCGATGGATATGATGCGACCCCGGACTGAATGTATCACAGGTCAAGTTAGCAAGCAGATGATTAGAAACAAAAAAGCCGGAATAAAGTACACACACATCATTGGACAATAACCAATATGAGGCTGGACAGATGAGAACACAATAGGCAGCGCATGAGGAGCAGAGCCTAAAGCGAAGTAAATGTAACCAACGTAATTGATCGGCTATTGGGTCTTAATGATCGGGAGAAGTAAAAACTAGAAAAACTATGCACGAAATGGACCGGTAGTCTGTTAGTGTCATACATCTGAGCAGATAAGACGAAAGTATTTACACTATAGTCTACAGACGAGTGTTCATGCTACCATGGGACAAAAAAGAATAGAAGTGCATTCACTACCCAGTCCGATAGAACTTGTTTTGTTTCCAGTCTCTGATAGAATCGTCTAATCAGCAAGATAACAATAATAATAATAATAACAATAATCGGGATGAAGGCGTCAATAAAACGCATAAGTAGAACGTATTTAGAATCACTTCGGTGCATAGGGACAACTGCACATTAGAAATAATATCAATACTGATGAAGAAAATACAGTAATATTCGTTACATTAATAAATTTTGCATCAAACGAATTTCGGTTCACTACACAACTTGATCTTTCCCCCCGGGTGACGCGTATCGTCACACGAGAGCAGTACTACGCTAACACGGGGTTTTGAACAAGAATCTAATGTGAAATGATAATCCGCAGGAAGACAAATCATTGGGAATGAACCAACCACCGGTCAATTCAACTACCATGTACACACTCATTTAGTGGTTTCCCTTTCTAATTCTAGTCTACACCTTCTGGAAGCCTATTGGATGAAGCGACTGAACGTGAGAGATCAAACCGAATGTTCACGAGGCATATATTCAATGGAATAACTTTTGCAAGCACTGAATAAGTGAGAAGCAAGAACTATACAGGTCAACCGTCACACGGAACATACGTAGTTAACGGGGAAAAGTTGCTCACAGGCAGTAAAGCTACATTCCATAGTCCAAGGGAAAAACGAAGTTCACTTGTTACTCTCTGTTTGTTTGTGAGTAAACGTGCAAAACAGGAGGCATAGGTGAATTTCGGTAAGCGTTTGTACGAGATGGCGTTCGTTGAAATACGGAGCTTGTGAAAAGATGGGAACGATGCGTCAGTTCTGTATGTACTGAGTGGTTAGCGTCTGCGAAAATTCTCGTCAAAGTTGGCAAAAGGAGTTAATAAAGATAATCTGCAATTTTCACAGCTCGCCCACAGAAATTGAAGAAACAGGCCTAATAATCATTAGAAGACAGTGTAAGACTTTGGAATCTTGTTTGAGCCAGGGAAAATAACCGAAGAACAAGGTAAGATAGAGAAAACACACCGGTGTACAAAAGCAGAAATAACTAAGTGCGAAACTGCCTAGATTTTCTAATTTGAAAGCGCAACAGCTGTGGGTGTGGGTTAACCAACGAAGATTGTTATCTATGGTTGCTGGATGCTGCTGTTGTCAGTAATCTATTTTAAGGAGATACTAGCAATCGAATTTCTTTCTATTGATAGTCGATTTACTTTTATTACTTTGTTCATTATCTAAGAGGCTATTTGACTGATTTTCAATCCTCTCGTTTTATCTAGAACATGTGAGACCCCATCACAGAACAACAGCAAAAACAACCGTGGGGTTATTTGACAGTGTGAATAAACAGACAGACAGACAGACAGACAGACACACACACACACACACACACACACACACACAGTTTTTGCAGTTGTCTATTTTTGTTGGTTTGGGGAAAAGCGATAACCTACATTTATACAAGCATTGGGAACACTAAAACCGCCAGTTTCAATTCGGGGTCCAGCTGGGATCGAACGCGCTTACCTTCTCATGCTCCAAGTCAAACACTGACCGGAACCCCACTTTTTCCGGCCATATCCAGAAATCGCACAGACTGGTCAGTGTGCACAGTACGCATACGAGTTATCGGAGGCGGGGCGGCATAAATGGACTTAGAGGACAGTCATCTATAGCCGATACCCGTCACTGGGTCTCACCGGCGTCATCATCAAGTTGCGACCTGTTTCTACAATCACCATTGTTGATGATGAGCTTTATATAACCAATAGCTTTGTTTCCCTCGGCGGCGATGGGGACTAACATTCACCAACCCTAAACAAATGAACACGTCTCAAAGCATATCCCACGATGAGACTATACTCTAGGGGGCAATGAAGAGATTACCAGCCCCAGTGAAAGTGGAACCCGTGCATGGAAACCGCTCATGTCAAAGTCGAACACAAAACTACTGTTGTCTACCACTTGTAAAACAACAATTTGAACACTGAAGAGATCCGGAAATCAATCAAATGTCAAATCAAGAATTGTGTAAACAAACTGGAGTTACATAAGATTATCTGGTATAATTACATTTCAGTAGACTATGGATAGACAGCTTAGCTGTCGTCAAGCTGAATTCCATGAATGTATTTGATGGTTCGCCAATCCAAGTTTCAGGAATTATGTTCAGAGAACAATAGGTCCTCCTGACCATGGGGTTTCACGCTTCTGCTTTTATGACAGTATGTGAAATCAGTTTTAGATTTTACAACCATTAACCATGCACTTTCGTGCGCCGGTTTTGGTTGCTGTCTTTTGGCCGCCCATTTGGATAAAAGAGCAAGATGATTGGAATGTTGAGAGCAAATTCAAGCGGGAGATGGAGAATTCATATAGAGTGGTGTTAAGGGAATAATGAGTGGATGCACGAGCGCCACTGTTTGCAACACAGCCATACCACTCAGTGTCTCTAACCATCGGTGACCATCATCCTCGAGATCGCCAACCAGGGAGTCTAACGGGGCCTGTGACCTAGTCTCCTGGTAAGGGCTTTCATGCCCTCATGCCAGATCTTCGTTTGACCACCCTTCACCTTTCTCCAAAGACGACCTGCCTCGGCAAACATCGCTCGCCGTGGCAACCTATTTGGTGACATGCGCAAAACATGCCCGAACCAACGTAATCTATGGAAGTCGATTACTTCTTCCAGGGGACGGCCGCGACAGCCCAAAACTCTAAACCTAACTTCAGCATTGCTCGCCCGATTACCCCACCAGACTCGTGCATTATGTGTAATAAAAAAGCTAGATAAAACGGGGATGGCTTTCATAGGAAAGTAACGTTAAAAGTGCCTTAATCCGAATTGGTATCAAACAACTGAGCACGGATGCATGTCCTATATTCCTTAATCAAGAATTTTTAAAATTATTGGGGAAATCGCGAGAAAGATTAAACAATTAAAGGGGTGAAATTGAGAAATAAAGGAAGGAAAAAATAAATGAACAAAAAAGTGTGTTGCTGCAAGTACACATTCAAGTAAATCGAAATCATATCCAAAACAATGGCAAATCTCAACACTTTTCCGCCTGTCATGAATAGTTGACTCTCTAATTAACTTACGCTGATCCGCAGTGATCCTGCCCCCTAATCAAGCCAATTTCCTACTCACAGATTAAATGAATTCCGTGAATATGAAATAGTGTAAGCAGCAATACGGATGTTAGATAAACTGATAGCAGGCAGTATGCTAGTTGCAAAATTCGAAAAATCTAGTGATTAGCTGGTGTGGTTTAATCGATAAACTAACCAGCGATTAGGCACACCATGTCCGTACAGTGAATGCGTTACGCGTCTCGATTGATTATCCGAGAAAAAAATGGCTCACATGAGTGGAGCGGAGAAAATGATTCGGTCAGCAACCGTTAGGTGCGAGTTAAGAATATGGGTTAACTAAAAATAATGACAGAAAGTAGTGATATTCCAAAGGGAAATAGACAGTAGCACTCAGGGGAAAATGGTAAACATTGACTGGAACGGAGGCTTATTGAGTGACATTTTGGAATGAGACTTACTGCATGCGTAATAATAATCCAGATAGTAACGGACGATATTGCGAGTATTCGCGTCGGATCCATCACCGTAGAGCTGGCTTACTTGGGAACTTAACGGATTATCGTTGAGATCTAAGGGAAATAGGAGATAGAACCATATTAAGAATAGCTCTGGCCTATGAACAAGTGCAGAACAACACACAAAATAAAACTAACTAGTTCGAGAGAACCACGGCGAAAAACAAGAGATCGCTGCTTCGAGTTTCAACGTTATAACAACATAATGTGCGTAACTTATGTCTACGCGACTCGGTGTAGTCGACGAGTTTTTACAAATTGTACGCACCAACATTCATCAATCATCACTGGTCGCGGAATAAGGAGCAACGCTGGGGAAATGAGTAGCATATATCCGACTATGCGATCGGTCAAGGGTGAGCATAGGATTTCTGTTGTCCGGCTTGGATTACCATGCCATATCCCAACCCCAAAAGCGTTAACCAGACTCTCAAAGGCATCACTGTNCAAGTTGCGTATTGCACACCGGTACGATGAACAGAACAGTGAACCCCACTGTCACGAGGGCATGTAGTTTACACATGAAACGATCAAACCTGAATAACAGCCAGTCAAAATGTAAAATCACACTTTACCTCTGAAAGAGGAAACCAATGGACAGGAATCGGATCAGAAAACGCTGATAAATATTTTGATTTGAACGACTCGGTTCAGTCAAAAAAAAACAAGGTGTTTAAGTACAAAATCCGTGTCTGTTTCTGAATAGTGCATTGCTCGAAGAGGACAGACAGACCTTTTACTCATCAAGCATCCACGATCTAGAGAAAAAACGCACCGTTTCCAAACACTCCTAACGCATAAGGTCACAGCACACCAAAAATTTCGACCAAGTTACTCGACTTGACAACCTAGTATGACCCATGTGAAAGTTTGATACTAACTAAAGGAAAGACACAAAGAGGGTTTTCATGTTTTATTGAAAAAATACCACTTCAGTGCTATATATATATATATATATATATATATATATATATATATATATATATATATATATATATATATATCCGAAAAAAACTCAACTGCTGCTCAAAAGCTTTGGGTGAGACTCAACAACTCGCTGAATCTCCGCAACATTCGGCACACACTGTGAAAAATGACCGTAAAAGATATCGATCAGAATTTACAGATAGGATAGAAGTGGAAGTGGTTGTCGGGGTCCTTGTGAAGCATTTCGGACTCTTATGCTCCGCTCCAAGAAAGATGCACCTCCTCCTCTTTCTCTACTGCGAAACGACAGCGGTCACAGACAAAAACTCCAAATACGAATTGAAGATTTCGGTGACCTGCGCAACCGCTCGA